GGTTGGAGGCTTCGTCGTCCCTGGGGGTGGCGTGGCCATGGCAGGGCTTCAGTGTGGCTTGGCGTCTCTGGCGCCAGCCTGGGCCGCGTCTCCGTTCCCTGCCTGACCTTGCAGCCCGGCTCTGTAGAGGGCCCTGTAGACTCTTTTCCTGCTCTCTAGAAATTTCGGAAACTTGCCCCTGAAACGTGAAGGAGGGCGTGAGCTGTATGTGTCATTGATCTTTCCTTCCTCAGCGCTACCTGCCCCTGCCCGCTGCTTTCTGGTTTTTAACCCTCTGTGGTTCTCATCCTCCCCACCCACCCGCTTTCTAATCCTGATTAGAGCAGATGCACAGGAGTCTGGAATTTGGCTTCTGCGATTTGAAGCCCTAGGCGGAAGGTAACGGTCTTGGTGAGTCAGTGACCGTTTGCCCAAGGTCCGGTTTCAGACTGGAGCTGCTCTCGTTGGGACAGAACCAGGTTCTGGGTGGCGCTTACCGCATGATCTTGGACAAACCGCGCAGCACGTCAGGGCCGCTTCCCCAAGCTGCGGGGGGACTAGGCCAGGCGGGTTGCAAGTTGAGTTCCTTTGGCTCCAGAAGGCCAGGATTCTGGCTGGAAGCAGCCGGCCTTGTCTCATTCAAAGTGGATTCTGAAAAGCCAGCACGCTGTCTCGAGCCCTGCTCCCCCAGCGGGGGACCCTCAGTCACGGCAAATCCTGTTGCACCGGCGCTGTAGTGTCGCAAGGGACCCCCTGACCATTTCCTAGCGAGCGTGACGCAGTCAGCTGGTCAGCTGCAGCTGACCTTTGAGCACCATTGGGCCAGTCACGTGGTGACGAGGGCACAGAGGTGCCTGTGCTCCCCGCCCTTCCCTCTGCATGTACGTCTCGTCCCCCCGCTGCCTGAGCTGCTCAAAATGCCATTTGAGGACACACAGTTTGTTGTCCCGTCCAGCGGAGTTTCTGAAAATAGATGCCCAAGTGAGACCGACAGCAGGAAACTCGCTTGCAGACTGCGTCTGATGAAGTGGCGCTTTGGTCCCCAACATCGCCTTGCTTGTAAATATTAGGCTCTTACCACTGCTTTCTCCGCATGCTTAGGAATTTCGACACAGAGGCAGATAAATATGGAAATTGTACTTTTCCTAAATGATTTCATTTTAGCTCACTCTGGACTGTGACATCTGAAAGAGTGCAGCGTTAGGAAGCTGTCCTGCGCTCCTACAGGGCACCGCCGCGCAGTCCACCTCCTGGGTCCCCGCCGCTTGCCTGCTTCCCCCCGGTGAAGGGCTGTTGGCCGGGCGAGGTCGGGTCGGTTCTGAAGCCACCTGTCCCAGCCCTGGTGACGCCTGCTCTTTAAAGCGCAGCCTCCCTGCGTTTCCTGCTCTGGTCTCGGGGTTCGTCGGGCTTCACATCTGAGGTGTTTTATGGGAACTGGGAAGTGAACTGGGTTTGTAAGGTGCTCGGTTGGATTCATCTCTGCTCTGGTCGCCGCGACGCGGTGGGTGCAGCACTTTCTGTGCAGTGCACGTCATGGGCTTGCAGGGCCCCACTTGCAGTGCCCCACTTGCAGTTTTCATGTGGAGTTAGGTCTTCTCTTCATAACGAGATTTTAAGCCTACAGAGGCCCCGAGGTGGGCCCTGTCCCGCTCTGGCTTCCCTGAAGTCCAGGCCTGGGCCTTTGCGCTGGCGCCAGCTCACGGAGGACGCCGGGCTGGCACTGCGAGGCGTGGATACGGCCTGAGCATCAGTCCCGTCCCCCCTCCCGCCTCCTCTCCCTGCGCCCTTGTTTCCCACCAGAGATGCCCCCGGTCACTTCCGCACTGCGCTGCTCTGGGGCGCCTGCCAGGGGTGTCGTTGGCGTGGGGCCCCCTGCACAGCCTGCTGCCCTGTCCCCCCTTTCACGAGTAACACGAGCGTCCGCGTCTCCGGCCGCTGGGCGAGGCTTGCTCGAGGATCCAGCACCGAGCACAGCTCTGGCCGTGGTTTGCCCCAAAGAGCCTGCCGCCCCGTTCCCCAGTGGGGCCAGTGCCACTTCTGCGCTGCACATCACCACCGTCCAGCCTCACGACCAACGCTCCTGGCACCCGGCCCAGGCACGTGTGCATTTAGGGAGCTCCTGCTGTTTGCAGATAGTTCCATACTTGCTCCTTTCCTTTCGAGGCAGAGCGCTTAGTAATGAAACACCGTCAGAATGGTTGTCACTTCCATCATTTGTTGTTCCGCAAAGATACGGAAATGGCAGGGTTTGGGGTTGAACTTACACGGTGAGGACAAGCAGCTTTCCTGTGTGCTAAACGAAGAAACGTATCTGGTCTTCGTCCTGGTTCCTGGCACCAGCTCTTAAAATCCCGGGATTTCCTGGGTGTTGGGAGCGTCTTCTCTTATTCACGAGGAGGCCCTGTTCATTCACACCTGCGTTTATGCTAATGGGGTGACTGGTGGGCCCCCAGACAGCCTCACATGGGGCTGGTCACCACAGAGACCTGGAGCCTGGAGCACGTGGGGGCTGAGATCGGGTTATAACAACTCTGGAACTTCCACGCTGGTGACCACGTGCACGTATGGGGGCGAGAGGGGCACCCTGTGGTGCTGGGCAGAAGGTCCTGCGCTGGGACTCGCGACCTGGCCTCCATGCCTGCGTTTGGCTGTTCGTGGGTGCCTTCTGCTAAACGTAAACGTGAGTAAGGTGCTTTTCCGAGACCTGTGAGGTGCTCTAGCCAATTACAGAGCCTGAGGCGGGAGTGGGAACCCCTGATTTATAGCCGACGAGTCAGAAGTGGGAGAGGCCCAGGACTCGAGTCTGAATGGGGGAGCCTTGTGGGACAGAGCTGGGGTCTGTGCAGTTGGTGTCTGAGTGGAACGGGATTGTGGGGCACCCAGCCGGTGTGGGAAGCCACCTCGCACTGTCGCTGACGGGGGTGGGACGTGTCGCGCTCAGGGTCAGGTTCACATACGGATCCACCTGCTCTTGCCCAACAGCCCTGTCTGTTCATGCACGAATAACACCTCCCGAGGGACAGCTGGGAGCAGCCCAGCCCGGCGCCCGGGCGTTTTGTGGACAGACCTGGACTCACCTGAGATACACAGGGATTTAAAATGGATTTGAGTACGCTGGTGCCATATGCCACTCTGAACTGATGAGATCGAGACTCGACGTGTCCGCCTGCTTTAGCGTAGTGTGCGTGACGTGTTGTCACGCACCGTTCACGCATGTGGCCCGGGAGTGCCGAGACCGTCAGGGCTGGGGCACACCTCAGCAGCTCAACCCAAACCCGAGAGAAAGTCTTCACGTGAGCTGAGAGCTGGGCCACTGCCGCCAGCCCCCGGGACTGTGTGGTTTCCATACTGTCCAGTTCAGGGCGCTCGCTGGGCGCCAGCGGAGGAGGCGGCTGCGGGGAACGGCGTGGCTGGCGGATCAGGCGGCTGCCGAGCCCTGGACGGGGGTCTGCCCAGCACCCCGCTCCTGACCCCCTCCCACCGGAAAGCTGCACCTACGCTGGGGTTTTCAAAAGCACCTTCTGGTGTTTCTGAAAGTATAGTGGGATTTCTAAAACACGTACGTCCTGTTTTTGAATTTTTCATTTTTTTCTACAAAATAAATAAACGTACTTAGAAGTACTTTTTACCACTATCTCGAGGTCTCTTTCTGAGCAGCAGTGAAGGTTCTCGGGAGACACGACTTCATGTTCACAAGCCTCAGGCCATCTCGCAGTGACCTGTTCCCCCAGAAGGCCCTGGAACGTGTGCATAGTTGGGGTGATGGCCTGGGGCCTGGTGGTTGCTCTGGGGCGCAGCTGTGGCCTGCCATCCTCCTCCTGACCCAGGGAGCCAGGCCACCCTCAGATGTGCCGAGTGTCTTCTAACGATTGGGACGCTTGCAGTTGCTGGGGGAGAAGAGCACAGACGTCCCATGTGGGGCTCTGAGTCGCCCCAGAGCAGCCCGCTGAGCTCCGGGGCTCACGGGGCTTCTGCCGCTCCCGTCCTCTCCCGGGCTGGGCTGCAGCTCTCCAGAACACGCTCTCGGATCTCCTGGATTTCAGTCCGTGGATTTTTGAGCATCTCCAAGCTCATGCAGGGGTTGGCTCTTCTAGGTATTATCCATTTGGGGTAAAAAGCGAGGTTTCCGTACAGTCGGTTGACCTGGTGTTGGTTGTTTCTGTCGTGCTTTGAAACTGCCCCGTGAAACCGGCGCCTCCTCCCTTAAGTTGGGAAGGAAAGTGACCTCGGCGGGCAAGTCTGTAACGATATGCACGTTATCGCGGGGCATTTACACCACTTGTCAGAAGCTAATTTTAAAAGAAAAGTGTGATTCCTGGAAATGTTGCCAGAGCTTTCTTTCCTTTCTATCCGGGAGAACATAGGAAATCTCAGGCAATCTAAATCCAGCCTGTGCCAGATTTAGGTGGTGGGTGGGTCCCAGCCTTGTCTTTGCAGTGAGTCTGCAGAGATGGAAACAGTTCCTGAGCACGATCTAGAAGTGGATTTAAAAGAAAGGATTCCGTCACCCGTAAACACCCGGCGAAGCATTTTCCTCGGAGCGCGTGCGTGGGTCTGTGCTGTCCCGCAGGCAGCCCGCAGCTGCATTGCACGCTCCCCGGGCCGGTCTCTCTCAGCGTCCAGCGCATTTGGCAGTATCTGGGAAGAGGAAGCATAGCTCTTCTGTTTTTATTATCTTAATGCTTGTGGTCTGCAGAAAAGCCAATTTCTGATAAACACAAGTAGGTATAACGTGGTTGCTAAACAGAAGTAAACCGAAATCGCTAAGCCACTTGCTCTTAGGCCAGAAATTGGTGTTTGCCGTATCTCGGTTGGGGACTGTTTTGATTATTTTCAAAAGGTCTTTTATTTTCTTTGGCAAATACGATAATCCATGATGGGATTAGACTGTCCTCCTTTAACACGGGGAAGAAAGCGCGTGCGTTTCCATTGTTGGGGAAGACTTGCCCCCTGCAGACTCTCGGTGCAAAGCGTTTGGCTGAAATGCAGTTTCTGAAGCTGGTGCCTTCTCTGTTCTCCAGATGGACTTTCCGGCCGAGACCAGCCCGTGGAGCTGCTGAATCCTGCCCGCGTGAACCACATGCCCAGCACGGGTAAGTGAGCCCCCGCCCTGGCCTCCCGGGGCCGGGCCCAGCGAAGGGGTGCTTTGAGGTTCTGCTTTACCCGGGGAGCATGAAGAGAAGGGGGAGTTACCAGCTTCCTGGAATTTGGAGCTCTTTCCCTGGGGCGAAAGAGGCCCTCCTTTCGGAAACAGGATGGACTCGGTGCTCCCTCCGTGGGAAGACACGCCCAGGCTCTTTCTCGCGGGCTCCCGAGGTGTGCTGTTCCTGAGGCGCAGCTGTCGCGTTGGGTGTAGCCCGGGCCCTGATCCCTGCAACGGTCCGTGGGAAAGAGTTCTGAGCTTGAGCTGGGGCTCTGCTGGGGCCGGGCTGGGGCCAAGAGTCCCGCACCGTGGGTGGCCAGGCTGCTGGCCAGCCACACGACCACGCACATTGCGCCTTGTCCATGGCCACTGGTTGTCATCGGTAAAATGAGTCAGTGGGACTGTCTTCTAAGCCCCTTTCGGTTCTTTAATGAAAAAGCATCAACCGTGATCATAAATCTCTCATTCCGTAGGTAATGTTTCTGAACATTATAGTTGAAGTACTGTTTTCCAAGTCTACGGGCCGTTTCTGTAAAACACCTCTTTCCATGTGACTCAGCCAGGTTTTAAACTCCTAGCCTAGGTACCATCTTCCCGCCACGTGGCCGTACGAGGATGAAGCTAAACCCTCCTGAAGCCCTGGGGTTCAGTGAGCTGTTGCCCATTCTGCCGGGCAGCACTGCTGGGCCCTGCTGCCACCGTGGCTGCGTCCTGAGGGCCTGGGCCCCCTGTCTGTGCACTGCCCCCTCCTCGACAGCTGCCCCCGCTGCAGTCTGCGCCGGCTGTGCCCGCCGTGGGACCCCATTAGGCGTGACCGTTGCTCTGGAAAAGAAGTCGAAGCGAGAGCATGAAGCCAGGCTGAACGTTTCCAAGAAGAGATTTCTTTCTTCACCTCACGACTCTCCAGGGTCTGCCAAGGATCGTTTTCTGGCATTTCCCCAAACACACGGCTCCAGTGCTGTCTCCCTAGCACTCCTAGAAGGCACCCACGTCCCTGGGCGTGGTGCTCTCGCCTCACGCAGGGCGCTCAGGTCGCTCCTTTCTGTCTTCTGTTTTCCACACCTCTACTGTCCCTTCCTGCTGATGGAGAAATTTACTCCTTCCCTTGACACTTGAGCCTGGGGAGGGGAACTTTCAATACTACGTGAAGATGCTCAGTTTTTAGGTTTCAGCTCATGTAAAGTAGACAGTTTTGATTTTTGCTTTCTCTTGAGTCCCTTTGCCAGTGTCCTTTTGTTGCCACCGTGGATGCTGTGTAGCTTGGGCATCGTGAGGCAGCTCCCTGTGCTTGCCTAGGTGTGGCGTGGCCGCACGAGGATCTTTCAGACAGCTGGGTGGGCCGTGAAAAGGTGGTAAATAGCATAGTTTGCAGGTGAACCAGAAAAGGTGGGCTTCAGATGAAGCGCACCCTGCCTGTTGAGACCTGACGGGGGACCCCAGCTTTGCGTGGGGACAGAACAAGGACTTGAGTATGGACAGAGCAGACCTGGGGCCTGCCTCTCCTGCGCGTTGACTGTGACGTAGGCAGGGCGCTGAATAGCCCCGTGTAGGTTTCTCATTTCTTCGGCAGCGATCATCACGCCTCTCTGCAGAGGTCAAAGGCGTGTCAGCTTTTTAGTGGTTCCCGTTGACCGTGACTGAGGAACACGCGTGATACGGCCTTTACAATGCCAGGCCGAGTCCCAGACACTTCCTGTGGTCCGCCACCCTCGTTCCCTTCCTCTGGGGTGAACCACCCGACTTGAGGAGTGGCACGTGGGAAGGAGCGCCCCGGGAAATTGACACTAGTCGTAACCTTCCTGGAGCCAGGTTCCCAGTGGTCAGGGTCGAAGGCCGGTGCTGAGTTCCTAGGGTTTATTTTGTACTTTCCCATCATTGGCGGTCGGAGTGTTTGCGGGGTGATTTTAAGCCAGTGTAGACGCAGAGGGCACGAGCAGGGCAGAGCAAGGATGCGCGCGTGTGCAGCGGGATGCATACAACACCCTCACGAAGCCTGCGCAGTGGCCTGTGCCTCAGAAGCCTCTAGAGTGAAGGACATTTTTTTCAAACTCCATTTTGGTCATTTCAGCTCATTATAAAATACTACAAAGAAATACTAATCTCAGGTTAGTTGGTAATTTGAAAATTGATACGAAAATGTCTTTTAAGCCACACTTTTACGATATGGCAGTAGAAACATTTTTAGGTGTATTTTTATGCCAACCCCAATTTGCTGTTGTATATTTCCTAATGATTGAATTTAATGTTAAGTATTCTTTTGACACTTGAAGGTATTAAAACAAACTTCATACACACACACACACACACACACACACACACGTGTTAAATGGTCAGGAAATCCTTCGACATTCGCCGTGAGACCTGGTCCCTCTGAACACGTAGCTTTTCTGGGCATAGAGGGGCGCCTGGGCAGCCCCCGCTGTTGACCTGGTCTGAGTTCTCCACGCTCCCTGTTGTCAGTGGTGACGTGGTGAACACAATTTTTTGTCTGCTTATGGTTCTTTTTAAATATATCTAGTCCTAATAAATTCTCACTCCAAATAAACAGGCATTATTCATGCTGTTATTTGTGTGCCATCTTGAATCGAGACTTCAGATAGCTCAGGAGAACACACCACGTCTGTTGGGAAAATCTGTACAGGTTGAGTATCCCTCATCTGACATGCTCGGGACCAGAGCGTTTTGGATTTCAGATCTTCTCCGGATTTTGGAATATTTGCATTTTACTTACTGGCTAAGCATGCTAAATCTGAAAATCCAAAATCCGAAATGCTTCAGTGAACATTTCCTTTGAGCATCATACTCAAAAAGTTTGAGATTTTGGAGCATTTTGGATTTTTGAATTGGGATGCTCAACCTATACCAGAGGAGGAAAAAGCCAAAATTCTACTTGTTTGGATGTTTATAACTTTTTATATGTAAAGAAGACATGCCTTTTTTTCTCTGTTTCTCTTTGCATTCCTTGTTTTAAGCATTCTAATTGTAAAATAGCTCTGTCATAACTGGCAGAACACACGTAACTATTGGCCTGCCACTAAGATATACTACTTTAATATTATTCTATATTAGCATCATTTCTTCATTTTTTGAACGTGTAGAATCTTACAGTTACAGACAAGGCTGTAGCCTCTGCCCCTTCCCAGAGGTAGTTCTCCTCGGGGAGCGGAAGGGCCGCTCTTGGACAGGGACTTGACGCGAAGGCAGAGCCCGGGCGTGGACGTGGCAGCGGGCGGGGCGGGGGTGCGGGTCTCCTCTTCCCTACCCGTGTTTTCCCGTGGGGTTAAGAAGCAGAGTCATCATCTCACAGTTAGCTGGGGAGGAGATGCTGGAGTTTGGGGACGGAGGAGAAGCTGCGGAATGATCAGCTGGGAGGTTGAGTTCGGGCACAGACCCGCAGAACGTCTGGCAGGACACAGACTGTGCTGTGCCAAGGGGTTGGACTACAGGGAACTTAAAAAACTGTTAAGTCATTCATTTCTGAACATCGCAGTTTTTAAAGTAATAGACTTGTTTCCCCGGGTTATAAAAGCAACACATGTTTATTGTGGAAAAAACGACGTTGTACTAGATGTTTCGGGTGTTGGTTTCTGGACCTGGAGGGTGAGCTGGCCCAGAGCCGGGCGGTCGGCCCTGACTGAGCGGAGGCGTCCGTGGAGGGTGCTGCCGTCGCCCAAGAGCAAGGTGGAGGAAAACGAAACCTCGGTAGGAGGGGGATGCAGGTATTAAGCACTTACTGTTAACTGCAGGGCGTGCTGAGGGCTTCACGTCATTCATGGCATTGGCTTGTCACGGTGACCAGTGCTCTTGCTGCTGTTGTCACCTTCTCCTCGGAATGGAATGGGGTCCCAGGGACATGTGCACGTAAATCACAGAGCAAGGACTCGTCGTGCTGTGGGGGAAAAAGAGCCTCAGAAAATGCCAGGCACCACTGTCTGCCAGAAGGGAAACTGAGGCTGATTTTAAGGGTGGGCTGCTGTACGGAAGAGAAACGTCTTCTGTGGTTTCCTCAGACACAAGATGGTGCTCATGTCACCCCTGTACACGTGTCCCCGTAAACATACGTGTCTGTGGGGGGAAAGGTTTCTTTTTAAGGTTGTACGTCAGAAGTGCTATTTTTAAAAGAAAATTTTAGAATCTAAAGCGGGAGAAACTACAGAAACTCTAGAGAACTTCTCCAGAATGATAAAAAATGGACGTTGCCGTTAGCTTTGGAGTCTCAGTTCTTAGAGGGCTCTCGTTTGGCCGCCGCGCCGTCAGAGGGATTCTGCATTTCTCACCGCTGCCCTGAAAGGCTGGGTCCGGAACGCTTGCGGTACTTGGTACCCGAAGCTTGTGTTGCCTCCCAGATGTGTTTTTTAGTTTGTTTGTTTTCTTTTTTCTTTTTCTTTTTTTTGAGACAGTCTTGCTCTATCTCCCCAAGTAGAGTGCCGTGGCTCCATCACAGCTCACGGCAACCTCAACTCCTGGGCTCCAGCGATGCTCCAGCCTCAGCCTCCCACGTAGCTGGGACTGCAGGTACTCGCCACCATGCACTGTTGATTTTTCTATTTTTTTTGAAGAGACGGGGTCTCGCTCTTGCTCAGGCTGATCTCAAACTCCTGACCTCAAGTGATCCTCCTGCCTCGGCCTCCCAGAGTGCCAGGATTACAGGCGAGAGCCACCGTGCCCGCCCTAGATGTGTTTTGATGCTGTTACTGTTGTGTTGTTCTTTTGGTGAGAAGAAACTTGAATCTAATACACATATGAGAAGATACGTGAAGCTCAGGGGACGCTTCAGAAAGTCCCCCTCCACTGGCACAGGAAGCTACTGATTGCCTTGATAAACGCACCCCCTGCTCACAGATCCATGGTTGTGACATTCCTACCTGGGCCTCCTTGGTGTTTGCGCTGTGAAGCTGGAGTTCCCGGGTGTGGGGTCGTCGGGCTCAGGAAGGACCAGCGTCTGCCTTG